GAGTACTACAGATTGTAGAAGGTAGTGATGACACTAACCCTGAGTTTGTCATTGAATTTGACTCCCAACCAGAAATAGATGACACTGAGGATGAGGCAAGTACTGAAAGTGAAGTTTGCATCTTCAATTTATTTGAAGATTACTTGAATAATGACTTGCGAATACTTTGAACTGCCCTGAGAACATACCCTACAGTAGTTGTGAGAAAAAGTTGTACTGCACATGTAAAATACTAATGATTGTTGGAATGCGCAAGTGGCTGCGAGTGTAAAGAGTGGTGGCGTCATGTACAAGATCAACCAGGGCAATGACTGCGATACAACACCACTCTTGCGCCATTGCTGCGAAATAGTTCCAACCTGCACAATGTGCTGCGAATGTAAAGAGTACTGGCATCACAGTGGAAAACCTAACCTGGACATGACTGTGATACAGCACTCTTGCGCTATTCCAACATGTACAACTGCACGGCTGGTATTTAGTTTAAGAGGCGGTGTGTGAGGAGGCTGAGCTGAGGAAAGAGGGTGGAAGGGAGGAATGCCTCTTGAAATCCTATTTTATTAATAGAATTTCATCTGGCAATCTTCAGCTTAGGCCTGAGCAAACAAATGATACACTAATTGATAATTTACGGATAATCAATTATGCTTTCTTTTCTATTTTTAGATCTTGATTTTCTTTAAGAGTAACTCACTTGTAAAGTGTGCTGAAAATCATGAAATGAAAGAATAAATTATGGTAATTCCTGTAGAAATTTAATTAGTGCATATCATAATTTGTGTTCTTTTTTATTTTAGACTTTAATTGTCTATGATGCTATCAGGTAATAATCTGCTGAAAACCCAACTGTAAACTGAACTGTTCAGGGTGAATGGGGAATTTTAATTATTTCAACTGTTGACTAATCTATTATTTTTCATTCTTATAGTATACATAATCAACTTAAAGTACACCATGGAATAGAAGCGTCAATGCATTCATGAGACAGTATGTAGAAAATAGACCAATATTAAATGAACAAGCAGTCCAGTTTGATGTATAGCTCAGGAATTTTTGTTGTTGAACCTGTATCTTTGATTGATAAACTAGTGTTACAGCAAATAATAATAATGTTTCTTGAAAAATAATTGATTTCCTCTTCAAAATGAGTAAGTTATCAATAGTATGACGTCATCAGTGACGTAATTGAGACGTCATCGGTTTTGTAGCGTCGTCATGGAAACAGTCTATGTAATTGTGTTTAGGATTGTAAGGTGTACAATAATGAAACTATCAAAATATTTCAGTAAGTTTAGTAAATTTTGGGCAAAGATACGCAAAATTTTCCAATTAGAATGCATGCAAAAATGACGTCACATGGTTACCATGGTAACTGAGCAGTGTTGTCTGTGGTACCGTTGAGCTTGTGATGCTATCCGACACACATTTAGTTTTTATATATTAATGTTTTGTGATCAAAAATGCACGCAAATTATGTATTTTAGTGCATATTGTTCATAGCTATGACGTCGTTGTGACGTCATCATATTTCCATGGTGACGCAGTTTTGTAACATTTTACCAACTAGTATTACTTATTTGATGTATAACATGCCATACAACACTTTTGTAATGGTTTTTTAGTAATAAATTATCTAATTTCAGTTTTCGCGTTTTTTCTTTGTCATTCAATGACGTCATACGGTTTCCATGGCAACGGTAAGTGTCCAACTGTTGCACTATGTTGTTGCCGTGTATGTTACCAATGTACTCTGAAAATATTGTGGTGATCGGATGAAATGTCTAGAAGTTATGAGCTTATATGTTAAAAAATCAGCATAAAACCAAGCATTTTGGTGCCACATTTCGCACCTAGCTGTAATACCTTAATACAGTGTCTCTCTTCCAAAAATTGGACTAAAATTCCGATTTTCAAATTGCCGTAACTTTTGATTGCCTTGACCGATTTTGATGAAACAAACACCATTATGTTTTAAATCACGAGCTCTATCAAACTAGCCTACTTGTGGAGCCCCCCTGTAAATTTGAAATTTTGACTGCTATCCCTAATACAGCGTATTGTGTTTTTTATGTGTGTTTATTTATTGTCGTTTACGTAAACTATAACCTATACTTAAACCTATAACTCAAAAACTAGCTTCTGCCTATATATCAAATACACTTTGTCGTATTTTCGAGCAAACTATTGTCGGCAGAGTTTTTCAGTTTCCCCTGCAGTTTCACGACAAAGTTTCAAAACGTTTTACCGTTACATTTTACATTAAATTTTAAGCCTATTGAAAGCCATATAACATAAAACTATCGATACATTCCAAAATATGAAAATCAATAATTCTTTAGTTAAAAATTATCTCGTATTATTTTCACGTTACCATAGTGACTACTATTATTTTAAACCATTGAACTATAAATAACTATAAATGTTATTTATAGTTCAATGTTTTAAACATGGAATGGAATACTTCATGTGGAATTTCTATATTTCATCTGTTAAACTAGAAATACATGCATGCAATAACCCCTCGCCTGTTTTCAAAAGATGTATACTCAGTGCCGTTGCTAGCACTTCGTCTCAGGGGGGGTGTGAGGTTAGATAGAGGGGGGGGGGGGTGGTTACCAAAATGTTTCCAGATGTACAAAAAATTTTCAGGACATATAATAATTTTTCCGAAAATACAGTTGTTTTCCAAATTCACTTTCTCATGTCCTGAGAATTACCTGAATTCCCCTGAAAATCTTCTGCAAATCTACTTAAATTTACCTAAAAGTGCACTGGAAATCTACCTGAAATTCCTCATGAGCAATTATCAGGGGTGTTGCACCCCCCCCCCCCCACCAGTGAGTTTCACGCATTCACGCAAACACTCTCTGATTTATTGTTCGTGTATTTCATCTCCCAAAATTTTGTGCATCATACTATAGAGCATTTTGCTGTTGTCATGGTCTAGCGTGGTTCAAATTTATGAATTTTTATCATATAAAGTATAGTGTTTTATGTACTATTTAAAACACGAGTAGGAGTGCAGCCGAGCATTATATATCTGATAAAACACGACAACGAGTGTTTTGAATAGCTTAAAATACGACTACAAAAGACTACTAATTAGGATGAACCATAGTATAATCATGCTAATTAAGATGAACAATTATATAATGCCACATGTGTTTTATCAGATATAAAGTCACTCCACGTGACATATTATGGCTGACATGTTTGCCACAAGGTTTATGAATTATTAATGAGTATTTTAAAGAGATTTCTAGCACTGATAAAAATGATAATCTCACATGTGAAATTATTCATGATAATCTCACATGTGAAAATTATCGCCTTTTCAATTATCGCTTTTCTGTAAAAATTATCGCTTTTCAAAGACTGTCCTTTATATAATAAACAGAAAAATACATGGGTGGTTGGAAATACCAGATTTATTTTTCGTGTTGAACATGACATCTCACTTGTTCGCTGCGCTCACTTGTTCGCTGCACACTCATGTTCAACACTCGAAATAAATCTGGTATTTCGTGCACCCATGTATTATTCTCTATTTAAACTACAACTTGACTGGTTTAAATTATTATCAAGTTATCAGTGATTGTAAAAGTTGCAGATAGAAGTGTTTTGTTTTACATTATTATCAAGTTATCAGTGATCGCAAAACCTCCAAATCCTTAATTTCAAATGTTAGAATGTTAGGGTTTGTAATCCAAGTGAGAATATATACATTTTAAGACCTAACCAGGAACGACTGCGAAAAATGCAGCACAAGGTCCTCTGGTAGGAATTGAACCTACCGCCCTGCGATTCCGGTGCAGCGCTCTAACCAACTGAGCTACAGAGTCCAGCTGTTGAGCTTTAACCGTAAGTTCATGTATATTTAGGTGATCGGGTGTGCGGGTTGTGATAAGGTGGACTTCAATAATTTGGATTCTTGCACTTCACTTGGTGGAATTAATATTAGAATGTTAGGGTTTGTAATCCAAGCGAGAATATATACATTTTAAGACCTAACCAGGAACGACTGCGAAAAATGCAGCACAAGGTCCTCTGGTAGGAATTGAACCTACGGCCCTGCGATTCCGGTGAAGCGCTCTAACCAACTGAGCTACAGAGGCCAGCTGCTGAGCTTTAACCGTAAGTTCATGTATATTTAGGTAATCGGGTGTGCGGGTTGTGATAAAGTGGACTTCAATAATTTGGATTCTTGCACTTCACTTGGTGGAATTAATATTAGAATGTTAGGGTTTGTAATCCAAGTGAGAATATATACATTTTAAGACCTAACCAGGAACGACTGCGAAAAATGCAGCACAAGGTTTTCTGGTAGGAATTGAACCTACGGCCCTGCGATTCCGGTGCAGCGCTCTAACCAGCTGAGCTACACAGGCCAGCTGTTGAGCTTGAACCGTAAGTTCATGTATATTTAGGTTATCGGGTGTGCGAGTTGTGATAAGGTGGACTTCAATAATTTGGATTCTTGCACTTCACTTGGTGGAATTAATATTAGGATGTTAGGGTTTGTAATCCAAGTGAGAATATATACATTTGTATGTTCTCACTTGGATTAGAAACTATTCTCATTTGGATTACAAAATATATACACAAAATATATACATGTACTATACATTTGTATATTCTCACTTGGATTACAAAATATTCTCACTTGGATTACAAAATATATACATGTATATATTCTCACTTGGTTTACAAACCCTAACATTCTAATATTAATTCCACCAAGTGAAGTGCAAGAATCGAAATTATTAATTTCAAATGCCCCGCCGGGGCTAAGGTTCGAGTGGAAATACCCAACCCCCGGGATGTGCTTTACAGGAAAATGGCTGGGCGAGGGGGATGGGTACACTTGGATTTGGCTGATGCATTAAAAGTCATGGAAAAAGAAAAAAACTTTTCATATTGCTACTATAAAATGGCTCATTGTGCTTATTCCTGTGCTTATTCCAAACTGCTTGTCAAATATTTACTTGCTAGAAGTAGAAATTTACTCTGACCACTGGATGAAGAAGACATTAAATAAGTACTGGTCAATAAATAGAAATGTATTTTATTTCATAGTATTACAATTTTATTTTTACACTATAAAAATAAAATATAAACATGCGGCATAGAATATGCAAATTCGAGGCAATATTATTGTTGAATCGGTTTATTTATAGGATTTTATAACAAATAGCAACTATAAAAGTTTGTACCTTGTCTTCCCATCGCTTTATTCTGTTAGCCAATGCTTTTAAATTTACATATTTTAGAATCAGTTCCTTTTCTGGTAACTGCATTTCTAAATGAAATCATCGTGAGTAGTGAGTGCTGAGCAGGCCGTTTTACTATAAACAAA